TTGGCAGGTCAGGGCCAGAACCCCGAAGAATATACCCCCTGCCAGGATGAAATCAAACAATTTTTGAAATATCTAAAAACTAAGATATTTATAGTATTGAGTAGGTTGGATACCATATCAATTGCCCTTAGAAATATTTAAAAAAACAACCTTCCTTATGATCCATGTTTTTTTATTTCGTTACAAAATAAATTTTATAGTTTTTTCTTTAAAAAATTGCTTCCAATTTGCTACTTAATTATTTTTTTGCTGGTGCAAAAAGAATTTGACATTTTCGATAAAACAGTTTCTCCCTTAAAGGAACTGTAAGTGTAATTTTAAGTGACCCTGAATGTAAAGCAGGGGTGTATATAATTCCAATTTTTTTATTATTCCCCCCTAATTTTGTTTTTGATTTCCTTCCCCGAATTCGATAACTAAAAAGACTTAATTTTTTAATATTGATAATTCAGTACAAAATAATCCCTAAAAGGATTCATTTTGAAAATGGTGCCGCAGGCAAATGGCAATGGCAAAAAAATGTATATTGTTTCTTGGAATTCATTACCCATCATTTTTCGTGGGGGGAGAATTTGTGAAATTTGTGAGTAGGTTTGACTATTTGGAACAATTAATGAAAAATAACAGTCCCTTTTTCTTATAATAACAACTTGAAATTTCTTGAAACTTTTAAAACTCAAGAAGAACTATTTTTTAAGGCGGATGAAGAGAAGCAGTACTTTAATCTGGACCCTAGCCTGAAGAGGGAAAAATTGGAGGTGCTTCACGCCGCCGGGATTAGGAAAATATTCTGTGGGCATTATCACAGGTACACAGCAGAGCGTTACAAAATTTCTCGAGTAATTTTTCCGTTATCATTGAATTGGGGAAAATGACTGAGTATGTGGGTTTTAAATTCTCAAAAAAAGCGGGGAATTTTTTTTAGGAATCCCTCCCCCCCCCCCCCAATAATCGAAAATCATTACTCCCCCTTTCTCTAATGGGATAATGCTTGAAAATAAAAGCACTTGTTATTATGGAATAAAGGAATTATGGCGGATTCTACCGCGACCTTGAGGTGGTAATAACCTCCGCTATCGATTGTAATAACCTCTGCTATTGGTTGTAATAACCTCTGCTATTGGTTGTAATAACCTCTGCTATCGGTTGTATTAATCTTTGCTATCGGTTATAATAAACCTCTGCTTTCGGTTATTACAACCTCTGCTATCGGTTGTAATGACCTCTGCTATCGGATGTAATAACCTCAGATATCGATTATAATAACCTTTGCAATCGGTTGTAATAACTTCCACTATTGGTTGTAATAACCTCTGCTATCGGTTATAATAACCTCTGCTATCGGTTGTAATAACCTCTGCTATGGTTGTAATAACCTCCGCTATCGGTTGTAATAACCTCTGCTATTGGGTGTAATAACTTCCGCTATCGTTTTAATAACCTCCACTATCGGTCTTCAGATCTATATTTGATCATTAACATATACTCTTGATATTATCAGGAATGCTGGTGGTTTCTACCGCGACCTTGAGGTTGTAATAACCTCCGCCATTGGATGTCAGATCGGACCAGACCAGCATGAAGGGGGCGTATATCATCTAAATGAGGCGTTTAAATGCTAAAGGGGGCGTTTATTACTGACCTATGTATATACAAATGTGGGCGTTTATCTATCAATTCTCTTTTTCAGAAAGCAGTGTGGATCATGAATACTTTCCTCTTCAAAGTTTCCCAGCTACTGTACAGTTTTAAATAGGGGGGGGGTGTTTATCCCCCTCCCACCTTCCTTGAATATGGAACGATTTTGAAGTTCTGTTCCCAGTGAAATGAACTGCGTACTGCAAAGAATTGTAAACAAAAACAAAGTTTTTTTTACTTTGACTGAATACTGATAATTATGAAAACCTGACTGTACAAAGAAACTATTTTTGTGATTAATTCGTTGATTTTATAAATTTCGCGAGTTTGAACTTGACTCTCTGTATTATATATATAAACCTTAAATTGTGCCTTATTCTTATCCATTTTTATCACGGTTAGTTGCACAAATACTGTACTACAACAAATAACCTATCTTTATATCTAGGTAATTTGATTATTTATTTTTCATTTAATGTCGTCATTAATCATGTTGATTTTGTTGTCGATAATTTGTACTAAGAGTAGAAATCGAAATATTTGAGCTGAAAGAACAATTATTTTTTATTTTTTATTCGTGATACATTTGTTGGAGAGAAACTATTTTTATAATATTAAATAAGCGTAACAATTATAAAATATTTTCAGAGAAAATGGCTGCCAAGCTTTTGGTTTGAGAACGATAGAAAAGATCGTTAAAACATTAATAGGTAAAGACTCAGAAATTATCTTATAAAGTACTCGTTTGGGGACCCAGCTTTGCCTTGAGCTTTCCCAATAAAATTCAACCCACTCGACGTAGAAGTTTTCAACAAGGCTAAACACATTCCCGTGGTTTTGCTGAGTTCTCCAATTAAAATTTGAGGCAAATCGGTCAAGGGGTGCATGAGTTATGATCGAACACCCAAACAATCATACAAACAGAGTATTCATTACTTCGCCTGTTTCAAAATTTTCAAGTGATCAGTGATTTTTAGAGTGAAATTCCGATACATAACGGTATCCTTTGAACCTTCTTCTGGTTTAATGAGTTATCCCTCTTTTTCTATCTTAAAATTGATTTTTTTTCAATTGCGGTTTGTTATTTAAGTAACTTGCGGATCTATGCATAAATAGAGAAAGAAGACAATTGTCAGAATTCAACGCTTTTCCAAACAGAATTGTTGTTCAGATCACGGTTTTAATGTTATCGTTGTGAATCGGATTGCCAATTTATAAATGAAGGATGGCTTGAAATTACAAAAAAAGTACCTTTAAATGAATATTAACCAGAGAAAGAGGACACTTTGAATGCTCGGGTCACTCAAAAATGTTTTATTAGACAATGCAAAAGCCAAGCAGAACCCTAAAACATGATCCAGAACGCATTCTAAAACGATTTTATAAACTTTAATGGTGGTTTAATGGGGGTCAAGAAGGAAAAAATGAATGTTTAAAGGATTTAGACATGTCCGGGCGGGAATAGACCATCAAGACCCCAAAACTGGTCGAAAATATTGAAAATAGTTGAAACTGGAAAGTATGCTTGCCAGACAGCTTAATCTATATGCTTTTTACATTGTAAACAAAGTTGTAAAGCAAGATTTGAAAATGTTAAATTTGTCCCAAAGTCTACTTAGGACCAAATGGATGACATTGATTATGGATCTAAAATGTAAATCAAAACCAGAAAATCCTCAAAAGTCCTTCCTATATTCAATACTCAATCTCTCTTTTCTTTTGATCGCTCTTAAAGAGTTTAAAACAGACTCTGATGGATCAGGTTTTAGACCACTTGGAAAATTTTCGTGCTGTGACTATTGAAGTTGATATTCTTTCAGAAGAATGCTCCTTACATTATTAGAATTAGTTAATAGTAAAAATCTAGAAAGTTTTCCTACAGGTTTTCTTAAGAGGACCTGTAACTTCATTTCATAGCATATTATCTCTAGCATATTAGTTTACAAAAAGTTTTCCAAAAAATCATAGTAATTTTTGTTGCTAAATAAAATAGCTTTTTTTGTTAAGTTTTGAATCTCTTCCATTTTCCCTGTTATTATAACATATTTTATAGACTTTGTGTGTAACCCTCCCCCCTCCCCACTGTTTCTTTCTTCATTGTCTATTTCTCGTCTCTTTATTACAATACCTCTCCATCTATCTACTTCTTTTTTTCAACACTTTCTCCTTCATCTTCATTTGCCTTCAATTTGTTATAAATTATTATTGTTCTATTTTGATCTAATATGCACATATCGGCATAAAGGTCCTTTCATTTAAAACAACCAGTGCAGTGGTTAGAATGTATATAGTCAAATATTGTTATCTGTCTCTAAATTAAACCTTCATTAATAATTTTAGGTTAAATCAAGCAATATCTAAGATGTCCAAGTCTGAAGATATCTCTGATTTACCTGGAAACCTGGCCAAGATGTCTAAGTTTGATGATATCTCTGATTTACCTGGAAATTTGGCCAAGATGTCTAAGTCTGAAGATATCTCTGATTTACCTGGACATTTGGCCAAGATGTCTAAGTCTGAAGATATCTCTGATTTACCTGGAAATCTGGCCAAGATGTCTAAGTCTGGAGATATCTCTGATTTACCTGGAAATCTGGCCAAGATGTCTAAGTCTGAAGATATCTCTGATTTACCTGGAAATCTGGCCAAGATGTCTAAGTCTGGAGATATCTCTGATTTACCTGGAAACCTAACCAAAATGTCTTTATCTGCATCTAAAGTAAAAAAGAAGAACTACACCTTGAACCTAAAGATCAGCTACACCAAATGCTTCTCCTGCAGCTATGAAATTGGTTTCTCCAAGGATGCATTGGTTTGTAACTGTAGTTTACATTGGTACTGTAGTACACAGTGCAGGGATCAATGTAAGGATACATATTGCCTAGAAAGTTGTGAACTTTACAGCTGTACATCTCTAGACTCATTCTATTCAATTATCCTATATTTTTATGACACTGAGACTCTGAACATGGTTAAGGAGTACATTAGTTCTCAAGAAGGAGTTTCCAGGAAAGATATGAAGAAGTGGGCTGAAGCAGGGGACTGGAAAGCTGCTCTGGTCATAGGTTTAACTTATGAGTTCAGGTTTGTCTGTGACTGGGATGAATGTGAGCTAGCAATTCGTCCTCCCTTCATGAAGAGCCGACCTTTCAGTCACAGAAAAGCTATAAAATACTACAACATGGCTGCAGAAGAAAACTCTGTTGAAGCATTTGCTGGATTGGGAAGGTTACTGGATATTCAGAAGGTTATGGAACGGAAACAGAAGGATTATCTTATTACCAGTTCATGCAGGTTTAAGAGTTCTCAGATGCTTCTGCACGTCTTGTGTTTCCAAGATCTATTCAGCACATTATCATACATCAAGGACATCAAGCAAAAGTATAAACAAGGAGAAGAAATTAATTTACCTGTTCCTGGGATTACAGGACTAATTCTGTTCAGATTAAACCTTCTTAATGATTCCAGATCTACAAACAGTCTTATCAAAGAACTGCTACTCTTCCCCAGAATATCAGAGGTTTATTCTTTTCTAAAATCTTGTAATCCTAAACCTAGGATAAGTAGTTTTTCTTGTAATAGTAATCGTAATACTGATGGTTTGTCCAGACCAGTGGAGAACCTTATCTTTATTCAGAAGGCTAATCTCTACAATGAAGAGGGTAATACTGTAGCTAGGATAGATCATGGAGTAAGGATGGATGCTAAGGCTGTATTTGATCAAGGATATTTACAGAGACTGCACCATGAGCAGCCAATGTATTGCTGTGAGCATGGTTGTAAGAGTATTGGGAACACCTGCCCTTTATGCGCTATTGCGGCTAAGAAGAGGATTCTGAGTGTTTATGAGAACAGTTTTCTCTTCAGTAGCGATGAATTCTTCAGTTGTTTATTCTACAGTGCTATCTTTAATCTGGGATCAGGATTGAAGAAACAAGATTACTTCCGGAATTATGGAAAATATGAGATCATAACTGTTATCCGTTTTATGGCTCTTCAGCCCATGGATCTACATCCTCTACAGCTTGCTAAGGATCCCAACCTATACTGGCCAATTGTTCACTACTATGGGTCTGTGTACTCTGCGTTGAAGGAAATCCTGGATGAAAAGACAGTTGACAGTATCTATGAGAATTTCCCGGAGTCTACTCCTCTGCCAAAGAGATTAAATATAGTTGATGAGGAACAGTTTGTGATCAAATGTGGACACAACCCCTGTGTTCATCTTGACTGGGAGTTCAAGTTCAAGAAATGCTCCAGGTGTGAGTTGAGACGCTACTGTAGTCCAAGCTGTCAGAAGTATGACTGGAAACTACACAAGAAGGAATGCTTTCGCCGTCCTGGAATGGAGAATACAGATGCAGAGGTGGATTAGATCAAGACAGAGTCCTGTCATACTAGGTACCTTGAGTTCGTGTACTTCCTGGATCCTCCTTATTTTAATATATGGAATTATCTAGTTTTCTAGTAATTTTGTTGAGTTAAAGGAAGGGGGGGGAGTCTCGAAATATAACGGTTTGATCAAGGTTGGTTTCCTCGGAGAGAGGGAGATTTATTTTCTCAAGTGATGGTCCCCAGGGCGTCTAAAGTTTTCAAGTTTTCAAGTTTTCAAGTTTCTATAGGTTTTCTCAAATTCGTCACTAATCCATAGATAAGAATGCACACAGAAGTTTATGTGGATCCTGTTAATAAGTACCGTTAACAATAAAGCATTTATAAGATACGATTGAATAACTTAAATGTTAACAATGTTTTATATTATAAATATTCTTACTAGTGGAGGATTATTTGAGAAATTGAGGGGGCCAGTTATCAGTACTAAAACAACCTTTTTAACTCCTGAAATAAATATCCGTTTGGTTACAAAAATTTGTTGTTCACTGCAAAATCATGAATTTTAAGCTTTTACTATTTTGTAACGTGTTCACTGCACAAGTTGTTTATGTTTTGTCGGAGATCTAAGAAAAGTTGGGTTTGGGTTACCGGAGTATAATTTGGACAAAGACAACCTTACAACGGAGAAAGATTATAAGGGTTTATGGTTTACAAATTTGTATATCTAGTTATCTTTGTAAATTCTTTTTTTTAACATTGTTTTTATATCGTAATGTTAAAGGACAATGTAATTATTATGATTATTTATTTTCAGATTTAGAATATAAATGTAGATTTTGATAAATCCGATTGATTGATATTGAGTTTATTAAAAAGGTCAGTTGAAAACTAGAGTACAATTACAAATATCCATACATTCATCCTTGCTTATTAAAGAGTTTTTTATCCTAAACTTTAATTTAATTTTACATGACCCGACAGCAATTATACTTTTAAAGAAAATAGGTATTTGGGGAATATCCCAGATTCCCAGGCATTTGGGGAATTCCCGAAATTTCCCAAATTCCTATAGGAATTTGATGGTGGTATATTTTTTAGATTTTGGAAATTTCTCCAATTACTGAATATTTGGGAAATTTCCCAAACCTCTAAGTATTTGGGAAAATTCCCAAATAGCTAGGTATTTGAGGTATTTCCTAAAATTGAAAAATAAAACACCCTCAGATTCTCTAAGGAATTTGGGAAATTCCCCAGATTCTCAGGCATTTGGGGAATTTCCAATTTTGACTATTTTTTAATTGGTGACATTCCCTCTAATTTTAAAAGGTACATACTTATAAAGTCAAACGTGTAGATACAAAGATAGTGTAATTTATTTTAATTTTTAAAAATCGGAGTATACATCGCTTGTCTTTTTTAAAAGTATTTATTGAGAATATCAATATCAATATGCATTTAATAAACTTTTTATGAGATATATAATTAAAGCCTTGTGTCGTTAAAATGAGGTCAATAACTCAATTAACAAAAAAAAGTTGTTGTCATTTGAAAAATTTACATCTTCTTTTACTTTTCTCTTTGCCGATGGTTCTGGTTTCCTTAAATTCTTCAGCAATTTACAGCAACCTTCTTCTGTCCATATAGAGCTCTTAAAGTCGTTGGTTTCAATCAAACAAACTGCTCTAAATGTCTCCAAAACTTCAGATTTAATTTGGAAAGAATATATATTCCTTGATGATTAACAATACAAATTGAAAATAAATTTGGGACAACACATATTGAAAGAAAAGGGTCACTGCAAAAGAAAATCAATTTGATGAGTTTTTAAAATGAGATTTAGATTAAGACCACATAAATTTGAAAATTTCAAGTGCTTATTTGCACTGAGAAATGAGAAAAATATAATGGATAATTTTTAGCGTTAGCGAAACCAAATAGTTATAAATTAGATTTTACATTACAACAAAGATCTGATTAACATCAGCTGATCTGAAAAATAATCCGGTATAGATAGTGAACTTTTCAAAAAAAATTACAGGGCCCAGCCTTCTATAAGTACTCCTAATTTTTGTTCGCTAAACTTATTGATCACACCTCGTAGATGTATTGAGATTGATTGATTTGATTTGATTTGATTTGATTAGATAGTACTGATAATTGATTGATTGAGTATCTAAGATGACCATAACATCCACCATGAACAACATCTCTGCTCCACTTCTCAGGTGAATAATCCAGGTTCCAGAATCCATATTCTAGATTCTATAATCAACAGGGTTTCCCAAAAAAAGCTTTTTAAACATTGTAGCACTTGCCGTGTTTCAATTAAGATTAAAATTAATATCGACTGATATCAATAAGAGGTACGTAGCACACAAATTAAAGAAGTAGGAACAGTTTGAAGTTTGACATTTTGGCTTGGTTGACTTTATGAATTTGAATTTTACCGTATTATGTAATTTCAGTGGGGTCTGAAAAAATGCAAATCTTGTGAACAAATCTAAATAATGCACAGTTACTCTTAAAAAATGGAAAAACCTTAGTTTACAATTCAGGAAAAAAATCTCCTTTCTTTTGAGTACCACAAAAGAAAGGACCACAAAACTTTATGCTTGGTCTTGGGGGGGGGGCGTTTGGCGCCCCCCCCCCCTGTAGTTTTTTGTCCTAGCACTCTCATTTTTGACACTAATATCGTGAAAAAGTTATTTTTTTTAATTCATAGGGTTGGGTACAGGGCGGAAAAAAGTCCGTGGAAAAAAAAATATTTAAAAGCCCATATCTTTTCAGTGACTAAAGCTACAGATCTTAAAACTATATTTTTTAAAAGCCCATGATAGAAACATGTGTCACACTTCAATACTTGTTTAAAACATAAAAAATATTTTTTTTAATTTTTCTGAACATATTTTTCAACCCTCTCTAGCACCCAAACTCTAAAAGTTATCGGTCAAAATTTTTTTCAATGAACTGGCCTTGACAAATTGGGCTATACACATGCTTTTCAACTCTATACCTATTCTATTTTCTAGGCTATACATAGATTCAGACCCCCCCCCCCAGCCTTCATAGGGTTAATGGAGTTTAACGGCTAATTTTACCACGCAAGTCATCCTGCATGCTTTCAATTGTCATATCATTATTTTAAATCATTTTTGTGTAATTATAACCCCTTATTCTAATCTATTGAAATGAAATGTGAATGCAAAGATAATTTTTTCTTTTACCTATCACAATGACAATATTTCTTTTCAACCAAGCCAAAATGTCAAATTTCAAACTGTTCTTACTTATGCCAATTTTTGTGCTACATTCCTCTAATTGATTCAATCCATCGGAAATGCGATTTCAAAATATTTAAAATATTTATTTTTATTTTGGGTTTTCTCAGATTATATATTCCTTATGAAGTATGCGACACATAAAACCTAGGATGCTCATTTTAGGAAAGTATATATAGAGTGTTTGGTAAAGAATTATGGTGACAGAAGTTTACGGAATTTTGAAATTTTGTTGAGCCAGTTGTGAGCCATGATAAGCCGGTAGCTGCCGACCATAGCAGTGTTGATCGTGATGTACTGTTCGAGCGGATCATATCATTTTTGGGACTGAGTCCTAGTAGCTATTTACTTTTAGTAATAGTTTTAATTCAAAAATTTTCAAAGATCGTTTTTTTGGGATGCCACAGATGCTAGATTCCAGATTCCAGATTCCAGATTCCAGATTCTAGATTCCAGATTCCAGATTCCAGATTCCAGATTCCAGATTCCAGATTCCAGATTCCAGATTGATGGCCTGGATCCGGATTCGGATCATAATACGATGGATCTAAAGCACTTCTGATTTCTTATTATTACAGGGTCCTTTACAGATTTCCTTTTCTTAATAGAATCTAAAGTAAATAAATAAAAGATACATTTTTTTAGGTCTAAGACAAGTATTCTGGATAAATCTTTAAGCCGCGGAAAGCAGGTAGCATTCCTTCATAAACATTTTTTGCTACGTGAAATTTGGTAGCGGCCAAACGCTCGGGCCCCTGCCGTGTCCTAGCCGCGGCGTTTGGCTCCCTAGCCTGTCTTAGCCGCGTCGTTCGGCTTCTAGGCTGTCCTAGCCGCAGCAAGCGGCTTAGAAAGTGTCTTAATCTACCCTAATCCTAAAATATATACTAATCTCTCTCTTCTTATAATTCATTGAGGCATGCGCAAGTAACTGCTTTTGGCCGTTCCCTTCTGCTGATGTACAGAAGTACTTCTTAAACTCCCATGTGATTTAAAACAGTATACAGTTTTGTCTCTGAAAAAAGTATGTTTGGAGAAACTCCAAAAATGTCAATAAATATGGGGTCGTCGATGAAACATTTTGCTCTAACATGCTGTTTTATCCTGCAAAATGTACCACGACCATGATTCTAAACAATTATCATGTTATTATGTCATTTATGCATTACATTTCTTAATGCATCTTCTGAACAAATATTTGTATGGAACAGCGGAAGTTGCACATTGCTTGCATGTCGTCTTTCTACTCCATTATATTTTGGTGACCATCCTAAAAACCTTTTTGTGGGGGGCTATGGTTTTTAAAAAAACCGTTCATTTTTCTGAAAAGTTGTACTTTTTTGTGTGGGGGGGGGGGGGTAATTTATTTACTATGCATTTTGTTCAACTGAGTCCTTTTCACACAAAAATTTTCATTTTTTATTTGTTTTTTCAGGAGGTTAGCCTCTCAGCTTTTGCTCTTCTTTTCTCAGAAACCGTTCAGTATTGCCAGGTAATAACCAGCATTGCCAGGTAACGAATATTTGCCAGATAATGAAAAGTATTGCCTGGTAAGAAAACAGCATTGTCAGGTAACGAACATTTGCCAGTAAATAAAAAAAATATTGCCAGGTAATAATTAGTATTGATAGGTAATAGACAGCATTACCAGGTAATGAATAATATTGCCAGGTAATTAAAAATATTGCCGTGTAACGAAAAGTATTGCCAGGTAATAATCAGTATTGCCAGGTAATAAACAGTATTGCCAGGTAATAAACAGTATTGCCAGGTAATAAACAGTATTGCCAGGTAATACACAGTATTGCCAGGTAATACACAGTATTGCCAGGTAATACACAGTATTGCCAGGTAATACACAGTATTGCCAGGTAATACACAGTATTGCCAGGTAATACACAGTATTGCCAGGTAATACACAGTATTGCCAGGTAATACACAGTATTGCCAGGTAATACACAGTATTGCCAGGTAATACACAGTATTGCCAGGTAATAAATAATATTGCCAGGTAACGAAAACTATTGCAAGGTAACAAACGGTATTGGCAGGAAACAAAAAGTATTGCCAGGTAATTCAGTATTGCCAGGTAACAAACAGTATTGCTAGGTAACAATCAGTATTGCCAGGTAACTCAGTATTGCCAGGTAACTCAGTATTGCCAGGTAACAAACAGTATTGCTAGGTAACAAACAGTATTGCTAGGTAACAATCTGTATTGCCAGGTAACTCAGTATTGCCAGGTAACTCAGTATTGCCAGGTAACTCAGTATTGCCAGGTAACTCAGTATTGCCAGGTAACTCAGTATTGCCAGGTAACTAACAGTATTGCCAGGTAAGGATCAGTGTGATATTGCCAGGTAAGGATCAGTATGATATTGCCAAGTAAGGATCAGTATATTATTGCCGGATGACGGTCACATTCAACAAAATTGCCAGCACCCACACTCATATCAAAATATTCAAACAAGCTGGAAAGTGCAAACTAATAATCATTTTCTCCTCAAATCATAATGCTAAGTAAGCCAGGCTTCAATTTTATATTAATAAAATCATCTTGAAATTGCAGAATGGAAGTAGCCCACTGACAGCCCTAGAAGTCTGATTTTATTGAAATATATTTTAGGCCAGATCTAACACAGTGCCTGAGCTACAAGCAAAACTGCATGATTTAGGTATAAACCTAATGCAATTTATAAATACTTACTTGAGGATGATAATTATGTATTTTAAGAGTTATGTTATTTTTAAAGGGGCTGTAAGCGTTATTTTAAGTGACCCTCCATGCAAAGATGGCAATGGACGATTTACAACGGTACCATAGAAACCTTAATCTGATCAAAAATGTGGAAATTACGTCGTTATTTTGACTCGAAAAGTGGTTAATTCTGATAATTTCTCCATTGTTTCTCACAAGTAAGAAATGCGCTAGTCACTTTCAAAGAGAAGCCTCAAACGTAAAAAGAGAAATGAAACATTGATAATGGATATATAATTCATATTTTTCAGACAACGCTTTTAATGGACCATCCAAGTGAATCGGGCTGTGCCACTTTAGCATGCAGAGTCACTTGAAATTCCTCTGAAGGTCTCTGTAAAACGATTTTTTTTGTTTTCCTCTGCACCAGCAAATGTTTTAACTAATAAATATTTTACTGAAAATAAAATCAAAATATAGATGGTTTGGGCAGGTCGGAGCTAGAATCTTAGTTCTAGTTTTATATAATATGTTGTAGGTTGGCAGGTCGGGGCTAGAATCTCAGTTCTAGTTTTTATATAATTGTAGGTTGGCAGGTTGGGGCTAGAATCTTAGTTCTAGTTTTATATAAAATATTGTAGGTTGGCAGGTCGGGGCTAGAATCTTAGTTCTAGTTTTATATAATATATTGAAGGTTGGCAGGTCGGAGCTAGAATCTTAGTTCTTTTATATAATATATTGAAAGTTGGCAGGTCGGGGCTAGAATCTTAGTTCTAGTTTTTATATAATATATTGAAGGTTGGCAGGTCGGGGCTATAATCTTAGTTCTAGTTTTATATAAAATATTGTAGGTTGGCAGGTCTACCTACCTACCTACCTACCTACCTACCTACCTACCTAGTTATTGAATGTGTTGATGATGGTTAAGTCTACCCTATGGAAAACATTGTTCGGGAAGGAAGCAGATAAGGTAAAAATACCAAATATTCTTCTTAAAGGGACTGTAATCGTAATTTAAAGTGACCCTCTATATTAATAATTGATAAACGTTGATAAACCTTGTTGATAAAAACTTTAAAGATGTCCTTAAATTTGATAATTTTTAATTGTGGTTACTCTACAAGAGTGATTTGCGGATATTTGCCATGAAGACAAAGAATGGATTGTATACAATTCTACGCTTTCTTTTGATAGAGAAAAATACGATTATATTTTATTTCGGAATTCCGTTGCGCGGAATTGCACAGAATTAATCGGCTCGCGCAAGTAAATTCCACTTGCTTTTGAAACCCTATTTTAGCTTTCAGGGTTAATGTTTAAATCTTTAAGGTATTTTGTACAGGGTGTCCCACATCAAATTAGACCGCCTCAATGGGTCTAAATTACGATTTGGGGGACAAATCAGAAAACTTAAGAAGAATGAATCAGTTTAAAAAGTTTAATAAGGCTAATAGAAAATTTTGTTGGCAGAAAATGCTAGATATTTTGCGTATTATTTGCGTATTTTGGCGTTAAAGGTTGTTGATAATCTAATATGATATGGGACGCTCTGTATGTCTCATAGATTTATTTTTCATACAATCTGTAAAAAATGTTATGCCAGTAAAATTTAAATGAGGGACAATAATTAAAATCGTCGAAATTAGATACAACATAGTTTTGCCAAAAAAAAACAAACTTTCAAATTGCACAAAAAATGCAGCTATGCAAAGATATATTAATATATTAAGCTTGAGCATGCTAAAACTTAATATATAGTTAAGATATATTAATATATTTAGCTTGAGCATGCTAATGATGATGAGAGAAAATATTATATATTAAGATACATTAATATATTTAGCTTGAGCATGCTAATGATGATGAGAGAACATATTATATATTAAGATATATTAATATATTTAGCTAGAGCATGCTAATGATGATGAGAGAACATATTATATAATTAAGATATATTAATATATTTAGCTTGAGCATGCTAATGATGATAAGAGAACATATTATATAATTAAGATATATTAATATATTAAGCTTGAGCATGCTAATGATGATAAGAGAACATATTATATAATTAAGATATATTAATATATTTAGCTTGAGCATGCTAATGATGATAAGAGAATATATTATATAATAAAGATATATTAATATATTTAGCTTGAGCATGCTAATGATGATGAGAGAACATATTATATAATTAAGATATATTAATATATTAAGCTTGAGCATGCTAATGATGATGAGAGAACATATTATATAATTGAAAAAGAACCCCTGGTGAACAAGTTCATCTCTGTGCCAAAAGACAAAGGTAATAGCAAAAATATTTTTAATAAAATTTGGTTATTTCAGTCAAAATCAATTTTTTGATGGGTTGATTGATTGATTGATTGATTGATTGATTGATTAATTGATTGATTGATTGATTGAATGAGTGAGTGTAATTGATATTTTTTATTATTTTTTACCATGAGATCAAAATGTTGGTATCATAAAGGGATTGTAAGCATAATTTCAAGTGACCCTCTATACAAATATTGCCATGTTCGATTCGCAACGGTACCCTTTAAACATTTATCTGTTTTACCGTCTTTAATTCTGATAATTCCTATATGTTTTCCTGCAATAGAAATGCGCAAGTCACGTTTGAAGAGAAGAGAAACAATTATTCAAATTATCAGTTTTCAAAATTATAACATTATCAGACAACGCTCCGCCTGTACGATCTAACCTAGACGTTGGATTCCCAAATCTAAATCTAAATCTTTGAACCGCCGGTTGTTATTTCAGCAACCTAGCTCAAATTCAGTTAATTCGGTTTCAGGAGTCTATAGTTTTTATCCCATGAAGCAAAGTGCTATCCCGTATAAAATGTGTTCTATTATGATTGCCCATGAATACGTTTCGGTCGATAGAATGCAGAATTTTCAATTAATAATAATAATAATGATTGATTATTAATGTTGTTTTTTATTTATACGTTTTCGTTTAGTAGTTAGTTTTTAGACTATAAATTTTAGTTTAAAATATTTGTTTCTTCAGGGAGCTTGAACTGTGCTTCGTTTATGGCCGGCGTTATTGAAGCTGTTCTTGAGGGAGCCAACTTCCCAGCTAAGGTTTCAGCACATTGGCATAAGGTAAAAGGGTGGTGTATTTTTCGACCTACGCAAATCCGCTATACTCCACTTCTGACCTACGCCAAATCCGCTATA